TCTGAAATCTCATTTTTACGATGCATTTAGGAGTTGACAGGCCTCGATAGAGTAATACATTACTGCTGATGCTTTCCTCTTGGACATCAAAAAGGGTTCCATTCATTACCCCTTTCCTTACTAACCTTTCCTTCAGCCAGCCCTCAATGGCTCTGAGGATAAAGGAGCATTCTCAGAACATGTCAGCAAACTGTGTTTACTGCTTAGCCATGTCACAAGGATAAAGCAAGTGACTGTCCTAACCTGACTATGTGGCCAGGCCCCATAGATGTTCTTCTTAGACACTTTTCCTTCTAAAAGACATGGCCAGTGTCACAAGTCCTATGTTCTTCTCATACTGCCATGCAGACTCATGACCTAGAGTGTGGCGATGCATGTATTTTATGGTTTGACTACCTCCTCATTATTGGGGCAAGCATGCTATAAGGAATCTCAAACTCTGAGCCCAGAGACATGAGCAAGACCACAGTTTGTTAGTGGCAGAATGGAGGTGAGTCCCAGGGCCCCCAGGTCAGTCCACTGCACCTCTTGTGACTGTCACCTTCCATCATATCTGCAGAAGAACTCATTTTGAGCCCCACTCCACTCCCCTCAACCTTGCTCTGAGCCTGGCGGGTCCACTATTTACCTCTCTGCTCAAACCAATGCCGCTGGGGACACAGGAGGCAGGGATGATGGGGAGGAATGGAAAACATTCAGGAGTGTTTCTGAGTCTTTCTTTACTTTCCCATTCCCGTCTCCACTACACTGGAACTCTGCAGGCTCCTACACATAGCACTATTTAATGAAAGTATTTATGGTCCACTTCAGACTGGCAAGGGGCTTCACTGAGGAACATTCCATGGCAAGAGGATGAACAGCAGGGGAGTAAGAGGGCACCCATGGGCAACAGAGGGAGGCCAGAGGTTACAGGGGCGGAAGGGGACAGAAGTTCACTCTTGGCTATTTGTTTCTTGGCTCCAAGACTTTAATGGTATGACAGAGACCCACTGGTCAGGAGGTACATTTCTATTTGTTTGAGATAGCCATAGGGAAGAGGAATATTGGCAAGAACTGTAGTGTGAACACTGAGACCACCATGCCAAGCTCTAAGACTAGAAGCCACTGTCCCACTGTGCCAAGCTTTCTGAGCCTGGTGGTCAGTGTACTGCAGGCCTCATCAGTGTTCTCTGCTGCATGTGCTCTCGGGGGTAATGATTATATCAGCCACCTGCTGAGAGGGAAGAAGAAGGGGCTTTGCGAGGCTGGCAGACGATTCTTTCTCTATGGCTTGTACTTGCATAGGAAGTGTCGGTGCTCGTTGCATATGTTTTTGTTCCAAGTTAAAAATTCTGTAAGAAAATAAAGACATTTAAACCTAGCTTGTTCATTACTGAATTTACCGGAATTGTCAGTGTGTCTTTCTTGGAGTCCTGGACAAGGGCCAGTAGCGGTTATTTTAGTTGCCTATGTGGGTAGGATATGGTATTGTTTAGTCCAGACATCCAGCAATTACTAGCTGCCTGGCTGTCTAGATATTGCTCTGTGGGTATTTTGTAGATATTGTTGACACTCAAATCAAAAGACATTAAATAAAGACCAGATCAAGGGCTTCCTAGAACAGAAGATTTTCTCATTAATTGCTTTGGACTAAGTCTTTCCAATCATCTCCTGCAGTAATGTCCAGCACCCCTCCATGGCCTCTGCATCAACTCCTGCCTCCAGGTTACTGCCCTGCTTGAGTTCATCTCCTGACTTCCTTTGATGATGAACTGTGGTGTGGAAACATAAGCTGAAGAAACCCTTTACTCTCAAACTTGGTCATGGTGTGTCATCATGGCATCAGAAACCCTAACTAGGACAACTGCTGAGCTATCCCTCTAGTGCCCTCCTTTGTGTTTGAAATGGTTGCATCAAAGACCTGGGGGTGGCTTCCCCAGACTCCACAGTCAAGCTCTGAGAAGCTCTGAGGTGAACTTCAAAGATCTGCGAGTCATTGTGACCAGTCATGTCCCAACTTATAAAGAAGGGCTGGGCCAGAAACTGGGGGTTCCCGGGGGGACTGAAATATGTATATTTTTAGGAGAGGCCCACCTATTTCTGTTATCAGAATTCCTCAGTCCTTGTCATCCTGGAGAGGTTGTGGCAGAATGCTGAGTTTCCCCCTAGCTGGTGTCTGCTCGGGTCTTGACCTGAAGGTCTGACCCTGTCAACTGCTCTTACTCCCCAAACTCCAGGGACACAAAGGGTAGTTGTGCATGTGCCCTAATTCAAGGAGCCTGTAATTGGAGCACCAGAACATGATGAAATGGGAACTACAGGCTTGTTGAGTAATTTCTAGCATGGAACCAGGAGTGTGTGCACAAGCCTGCTAGCCTGGAATCAGCCCTGCAGAACTCAGGTTGGTTGGCTGGACGTGTAGTTGTGTAGGTCCTTCGGTACACCCACCGAGCCCAGAGAAGAGCTGAAAGAACAGCTTTTGCTAACCAAGAGCAGCTTACCCATGGGTACTCATCTAGACTGGTACCCATTCTAATCGCCCCCTGCCTGTCTCCCTCCCATAACACCAAAGGAGGAAGTGCTAGGAATGGGGAAGGGGTGTGAGCACACAGAACCGAGGCATTGAACTCAGCTTATACATGAAGGCCCTGATTGAATATTAAGGTGATGGGGATTCTGCTCTCTCCCTTTCAAAGGAAACATCTGAGGCATGAGAAGGAAGTCTGCACCAGCTCAGGCAGCTCAGCAAGAAGATGTTGTTTCAACAAGGACATTCAGAATACAGAGCTCCTGCCCTTGACCCCAAGCCAGACTGGGCATAACTTTCTTTCTTGCTGTAAAGAAAGATTGAACCCAGTGTTGTGAAATAATAGTTTAAGATGTGTTACATTCATTTATGCTATGGGATATTTGCTTAATGATGCAAAGATGTGTTGCATTCTTTTATGTTGCATTTGTTTAAGCCTGTAAAGCAGTGTTACGTTGCCTGTCTAAAATAGCAGATTGGTCTAATAAAGAGCTGAACAGCCGATAGCAAGGCAGGAGAAAGAATAAGCAGGGCTGGTGGGCAAAGAGAATAAATAGGAGGAGAGATCTACAGAAACATGAAGGATCGAGAAAAGGAGGAAGGAGAATGCCAGGGGCCGGCCAGTCAGCCACAGAGTAAGAAGGAAAGAAAGATACATAAAGAAAAGGCCCAGAAGGAAAAGGTAGCTAAAGATAAATGGAATGCTTTAAGTTAGAAAACCTGTCTAAAGCCAAGCTAAGGTCAAGCATTCGTAAGTAAGAATAAGTCTCTGTGTACTTATTTGGGACCTGGATGGTGGGCTCCCAAAAAGTGAAAAAACTAACTACAACTCAGGCCCTCAAACATACTAGACAACTGCTCTACTGATGAGCTCTATTCTCAGCTCTCTTCCTAATTTCTTTATTATAAGACAGGGTCTCACTACATTGCCCAGGCTAGCCTTGAACTCACTCTGTAGTTCAGGCTGGCATTGAACTTGATAAACCTCCTGCCTTAGCCTTCCAAGTACTAGGACTACAGGCTAGTTTACAGTCCCAAAGTGAAATAGTGGGTCACAAAACAGTTAGTTAGATTAGGGTGCAGAGTGCAGAGTCCCAAGAGAATGACAAAGGACACAAGGGACAAAATACCCAGAAGTTCTTCCTACATAGTAAGGAAGCAGGAATGGGTCCCTGTTGCAGACAGCAGAGTCCATGCATGACTCTGCACATAGGTAGGCTCCATTCTACAGATATAAAATAGCACTGGCAGTGGTCTCAGGAGGATTTTTCACCTTAAGTCCTTCTCTTCACCAGCTTCTCACTGGCCTTGTTCCTACCCCCCAACCCCACCCCTAACACCCCCACCCCGTCTTCCTGTGCATGTGCTGAGATTACACACCCACACTACCCTGTCCAGATTTTTGTGGGTTCTGGAGATTCAAACTCAGGTCTTCATGCCTGCGCAGCAAGCATTCTGCCCCTAAGCCACCACCCTGGCCCCCTCTTTGGGTTTCTTTGTGTCTGAAGCCTGTGCTCTATTTGCTGTGAGCTGAGGTGAAGCAAGGCTCCCACTTCTCACAGCTATGCTACAGGCTCCTTCAGTGTGGGGCTCTGATGATAGGAAAGGACATGAGAACCTCATCCAGTGAGGAGCCTGGAACCATGGGTGATGGGAGATGTCATTCTGTAAATATGTCTCTCTTATTGGTTAATGAATAAAGCAAGCACTGTTAGCCAATAGGAAAGCAAGATAGGGGGGACTAGGAGACAAGGAGGATTCGGGAAGTAGTAGGGAGGAGATTCAACATGTAGGACCAACAGGGTAGAACTCCGGATCCTCTCTCTGGTAAGATAAGACCACGTGGAAATATTTAGACTAATAGAAATGGGTTAATATTTAAGACAGAGCTAGCCAATAAGAAATGCTGCTAACAGGCCATTGTATTTCTAATACAATGTCTCAGTGTATTATTTGGGGCTGGCGCAGCTCTGGGACCAGGCAGGTGGGTGGAAACCTGCTCATAACACATGGAGATGCCAAGGTCCCTGGGAAGGAAACATCTGGTCAACTGCTTCCCCAAAGCTGGTCTGGCTAAAAGGCACATGTGGAGGTCCTTGTGCTATAGTTCTGAGAGTGCCTGGAGTGTGTTCTGCTGGAATGTTTTCCAGTTGATCTTTGAGACTTTGAGGCTCTCTTCTACCACAGCGAAAACAAATTGTTCACCTTTTCTTTGGCTGACTCTGGTGGTGGGCTTCTGGCTGCATCCTGGGGCAGCTCACTGTGGGTTTGGACACTGTTAACTATTAAATTCCCCCTCAATTTGGGTGGGCACCCTTGTTTTAGTAGCTTGTACCTATGACTTTGCCTGTGTTCTGGCTAACTTGCCATCATGGCAGCAGTGTGGGCTCTGCTGGCCTACAAGATTCCCTTCTCCAGCTTCTAGCTTCTGATGCCTTTGTCGTAGTCTGTCGTGTTGTGCCTGCTGTATTGCAGTTAAACTGTTCCTTCACTGCTATATTGATTTGGCAAAGGCAGCAGAGTAGGCACAGAAAGCCGAAGGTTCATTGACTGAGTGCCGAGGCCACTGTCCTGTAAGGTAGTGTTGCGAGTGAAAGGGGTGTTGGGGAGGAGGACAAGGACACCCCTTTTGCTCTTACTAAAGGAGAGAGCTGTAGCTTGGAGACAGGAAAGTGGTGCAGGGAACTTACTGTCCTTGGGGTTCAGCACAGCACAGTGCCTGGCTTCACTCTCTGTCCTTCGGTTCCAGGGTCTGTACAGCTGTGGAGACCCATCAATCCATCGCCATAACTGGTTCTGCAAAGACAAGAAACAGAGGGAATGCGCAAGTCAGCCAACTCACCCTCCCACAGCCACACTGGGCCTTTAGCCCAGTGAAATGGGGTTTCATGGGGCGGAGTATAGAAATGTGTTAAGAACCGAATTAGAAAAGCCATTCCATTCAATGATACAGGAAAGCATCACTAATGTTTTAGCATATTTACTCCTGATGGAAACATGGTTATCAATGTACTAAAATTTTTGTTCTCTTTAAAACAGATATTCAAGTCTTTCATTTGCTCTCTAAACCTGTCTTCAACACAAGGATGTACCATAATCTACCTAACAACCTCCCATTGACCACTGAATATATTGTTTCCAATTTTCAATGACCATAAGAAACACTGGTATGACTAATTTTGGTGAGATTTACTCTGTGTTCTCAAAAAATTTTCCTTATAATATATCTCAGAAACAGAATTAATGGGGCAAGTTGTGTGACTGGTTTGAGATTATCAATACCCACTGACACAGTACTTTCCCCAAACTGCCCACTTGTAAAACTTTACATGCTCACTGACTGGGCACACAAACCATTTCTCTACATCCTTAAGACACTATTCATGATACAAAGAAAAATGTTGATAGTCTAAGTCAAATTATATCATTTTAGTTTGCATTTCCACAATTATTAGAGATAAGAGTACGGTTTTAGAATATTTGTCATTTGTGTCTCACAGTCACACATGTAAAAAAATTAAACTACAAAAAAAGCAAATATATAGCTTGTCTCTAAAAGCAGAGATTTAATTGACAGCAAAGTAAATACATAAACAATGAAATATTCAACCAAGAGTGGTGGCACATGCCTTTAATCCCAGCACTTGAGGCAGCAGAGGCAGGCAGATCTCTGTGAATTTGAGGCCAGCCTGGTCTACATAGCAAGTTCCAGGATAGCCAAAGCTCAAATGAAACTCTGTCTCAAAAAGTGGAGGATATGGAGAGATGGCTCAGTTGTTAAAAGTACTTGTTGCTTTTACTGAGGACCCAAGCTTGGTTCCCAGTACACACATGGCAGCTCACAACTGTGTTACCCCAGTTTCAGAGAACCTGATATCTTCTTCTGGCTTCCCCAGGCACCAGACACATACATACATGCAGGCACACACTCGGACATAGAAAGTAAAAATATAAAAATATTTTAAAAGTTAAAAATTGTGCAAGTGAAATAAACACCATTTAAAGCAAATAACTGTATAACAGTTATAGCAAAAAAAATCACTTGTTCTTTTGTGATATTCAAAAGACAAAATATAATGTGATTCACAGGCAATTGCCAAAGGGTGGCCACATGGTCATGGAATAAGGTGTATGAGTATTGATATGTCCACCTATATACATCCTCAGGATCAGCAGTCCCCATTTCAGGTAGGTATAGATGTCCCACCCCCAATCCATAAACAGACATTCTATCTGTGCTACTTCTCATAGTCACATGCTGATGGAGAGGACAGAAGGGTCCTCTCCCTTATTTTTAAAAGTGACAGAACTTCAGGAAAAAGCTGAATGTTTTCACCTTTAATTAAGACTCAAAGGCAATTCAATTACTCTGAATCTTCTAGAAGATGGGCTTGTATGCTTTCTCTCTCCCTCTGTCTCTCTCTCTCTCTCCTTTTTTGGAATGTTCTAGAAAATTGGTAATTTTGTGTCTGAAGCTTCAGGAAGACCTTGATTAAAGTTCTACAAAAAGGAGCTACATAAATTATTTCTTGCACTGAGGGAAAGAATGGCCCTCAGGATTTGACTTGGATCATTGGAGGTGCTTGGCTGCAGAGCTGACTACTACTTGCATCCTGTTTGTAGGTCAGGAGGCCACTTCTCAGGAAAGGATTGTCATCCTGGCTTTCCCAAGAGGCTCTGTGAGCCAAACATGGGGTTACCTTTTGGGGGTCATGCAGGCCAATCCACACAGGCAGGTTTCTTTGATAGCCAATTATGTACTTTGATATGACGCTGGCTTCCTTTTGATTCAAGACAGATGCCAGATGGGATCCATTTCCATATGACTGGCACTCCAGCTGCAAGGAGAGGTCCCATTAATGTTGCCATGAGCATGCAGCTCTCTCCTTGGAGCCCTGGTGTGCCAAGAAGGATGGATTCTCTCCCCACCTCCCAGAAACTGAGATCTAAACCCCACAGGTGATTTCTGTCACTGCAGTAGAAGACAGAAGACCACAGTGTCAGGTCCCAGAGGAAGCAAAAGCTCAAGGCCAGGCAGGCCAGAAGATTTAAGACCAGAGAAAATGCCCCAGTGGCCTTCATAAGTCACTTCACCTCTCTGAGGCACAGTTTTGTCATAATTACAGAATCTGGAGTTGTCTCCCTCTCCCTAGCTCTTGCTCACTCAGTCTTTCCTCTCTCTCTCTCTCTCTCTCTCTCTCTCTCTCTCTCTCTCTCTCTCTGGAGTATTCAGGACTCCACTCAATAAGAAATTTCATCCCCTGGATTTTCTTTGCTACTTCTCTTGGTCAAATCAAACGGAAATCATTTTTGCTTACAATGCAATGCAATTTTCAGTTTAGACGTCACAACCACGCATTTCTTCCATACGTCACTCAATTATTGAGGGAAAGTATCCCTGTGGAGCCAAGGCTGACCTCAAACTATGACCTCCTATCTCAGCTCGCAAGAGCTAGGGTTGTAGGTACACCCACCACACTCTGCTCTCTCCGATTTGGAAGTCAGAGAACACAGAGTGATCCTCATTAGCTGTCACATGGTGGGTTTGCCGCCCTTGTTCCTTTCCTTTCTCTGTTGAGTTACACACAGGACACTAGAGACCACTCCGGACCTGGATCATGTCACATTGCATCTATATGTAGCAATCAGTCCCAAGCTGGAGAGACAACAACATCAATTCTCCACTCACTTGGACTGGCTATTTGGATATTGGGAGACATCTTACCCATAGATAACTGGAGAGAATAAAATCCAGGCACATGTGGGTTGTGTCAAGTGAGGACACCTCCCATTTCTGTTGCTTGACTTTGTGCCCAGTGTCCCTGAGACCTGTTTCAGGCATTCCTGCCTCTCTCTCTCTGGTACCTCTCATAGGGGAATCTAGCTATTCTTTGTACAAGTGTCTGCACTCTTCATGTTCCTCTGACATGTATATTTCTAGCTTCCTGAGTGTCATGGCTACTTCCTACTCCATGCAGCCCATTGATGGTCTAAACACATATTATCTACATCATCAGTGTTCACAGAATTGAAGGAGCTGAGCACATCCCGCTTCATTTGAATCCTGAGGTTTCTCCTGGGGTCCCAGGAAGAACCCTTGACTCTTAAGTCAAACATGATCTACAGCTCTAGCTGGCCCCTTTCTGTAAAGGAAACCAATAGCTCAAACTTCTCACCTCAGCATGAGACCAGTTTCCCATCTTTCGGAAGTATCCATAGCAGTGGGACTTGTAGTAAAACCACCCTGAAGCACAGCTGGGTCTCAGGAGATCTGTATAGAAACAAACAGCAGTCACAGACTGAGATGTCAAACAAAACAAAACAAAAAACCAAACTCCAAAAACAAAAACAAAAAAAACCTCAGTGTGGTGATGAGACATGGAACAGGAGAGACCTGTGGCAAAGGAGGCCGTCACTCAGGGAGGCCCGAGCTTTCCCTACTGGCCTGTCGAGTGGAACGGCAGAGAGGCTGGAGAACCTCAGACTTCCAGGCCAGCAGTCTGAGCCCTGTGACAATGTGGCAGCACACCTACACCCTAGCCCAGTGCAGAGGTCTTCCCCAGTCAGATGGCTGTGCGTTACTTACTTCACTCTTTGTACTATTTCATCTACTGCCTAGAACTCTCCAGAACCTCCTCACTTGACCCTTGGCTTCCTCTCCCTCCCTCTCGCCCTCCCTCCATCCCACTCCTGTCTTGTATCCCAGGCTGGCCTTAAGCTCACTATGTAGCTAAGGGTGACTGAGCTTCTGATCCTCCTGCCTCTACCTGAGATCACAGGCATTGTCATCATTCTCATTTACAAAGCAGTGTGTGTGTGTGTGTGTGTGTGTGTGTGTGTGTGTGTGTGTGTGTGAGGGGTCTAACCCAGGGCTTCGCGAAAGTTAGATGCACCCTCTGCCAACTGAGCTGTGCTGCTAGCCCTCACTCCTTAGCACAGATGACCTCTCTCAGATCAGTCTTCTTGCTCCAGCTAGCTGCACCAACCCCAGCTGATTTGGAACTCTGTGCTTCTTACACATCCATCGCAAGCGTGACCTCAGCTCATGGGATGGTGCTGTCTACGTTCAGGCTAAATCTCCCTTGGACAGTTAACCCTCTCTGGATACAGCCAAAGGTGTGTCTCCTAGGGGACTCCAAGTTTAGCTGACAATGTAGATTAACTGTTACACAAAGGCTCTGAGTATTATCTGAAATAAACTGCAGAGATCCTCATTTATTTCTACCGTTAGAAGAAACAACAGCGTTTTACAATAAGTAAAGGGAAAGTATTTATTTCACTGCTAACCTGGCTGCAGTCACCATCAGGGCCAGCCCATGCTGGGCATTGTGCTAAGCAGTTTATTCCAGCTTTATTTTTTTTTTTATCAAAATAAGCCAGAAAAATGAAACAGGACAAAATGGTTATCTGGTAAAGCCCCACACTGTAAAATAGAAAAGCTATTCTTTAAGATCTACCAGGAACACTTCCAATCTTTGATTTGTGAATATGCAAAAATGAGAAATTAGGAACTTAGTAACAAATAATTACAAAGTTGAGAAGCCTCAGCTATTTCACAAGAAAATTTGAAGAGAGTAAAGGAAATCTTAATTTTTACATCTGGCTCTAAATATTTTTCCTTTCCTTAAAAAAATTAAAGTAACGTTATTTGCGAGAATGTCTCACTATGTAGCCCAGGCTGGACTCCTATAGATGTTCCTGCTTCAGCCTCCTGAGGGCTGTGATTATAGGAACGCACAAAAGCCCCAATAAAATCAAAGATCTGTTGTTGTTGTTTTGTTTTAGATCACAGAAAATGAATTGTGAAAGTAGACAGCTTTGGAAACCAAAGCTTTTCAAGGAGATCTGTGCTTTGCGCGGGCTAGCTTTATGTCGACTTGACACAAGCTAGAGTCATTAGAGCCTCAGTTGAGAAAATGTCTTCATAAGATCTAACTGTAGGTCATTTTCTTAATTAGTGATTGATGGTGGAGGGCCCAGCCCATTGTGGGTGCTGCCATCTCTGGGCTGGAGGTCCTGGGTCTATAAGAAAGCAGGCTGAGCAAGCCATGATGAGCACGTCAGTAAGCAGCACTCCCTCCCCCCATGGCCTCTGCATCTGCTCCTGCCTCCAGGTCCCTGACATGTTAGATATGCTGTCTTGACTTCCTCTGATGATGGACCACGTGTAGAAGTGTGAGCCAAATAAACGTTTTCCTCCTCAACTTGCTTTTGATCATGGTGTTTCATCACAATAGTAACTCCAACTAGGACAATGCTGATCATTGGAAAGGGTTACAGTTTTCAAACCAGTGAAATGTTCCCCAAGGCTCATAACACCCAAGTGCTTGCTCCCCAGCTGGTAGCATTGTTTTAAAGACTGCGGAACCTTTAGGTTGTGGAGCCCCACTGGAGGAAGTGGATCCCTAGGGGCAGGCCTTGAGTGGCCCAGCCCCACTACTTGTCAACTCTCTTCTCCCTGACCATCTGACTATATTGCCCTCCTGCTACTACACCTTCCCGGTGGCTGTGGATCGTATCTTCTAAATTGTACAGCAAAAGAAATGCTTCCTTCCCTGGGCTGCTTCCTTCCAGGTATTTGATCATGACAACGAGGAAAGTAACCAATACAGGAAACTTACCTTCTAACCTAATGCTGCTGAGAGTGTTCAAGAAGAGAGGCAATGGAAGCCAAGTCTCCAGCCCTAAGTGTGAAGACCTGGTGACCGGTCCTCTAGATAATCATGTAAAGGAACCTGCAACTGAGTGTCGGAACAAGAGCCCTGCAAGACACTGTGCTTCAGCACAGTTCACTTTGTCCTAGTATATGACCTGGAGCAAATTGGTTCAATGTTCTGTGGGCAAACACATGGGAAATATCCTCCTCCACCATGGCATTCGCTTCCCCTGACGTGAGGTCACAAGAACAGCTGTCTTGAGGTGTTGTGTGGTATTTTGTTTGTGTTCTGACAAAGCTTGCTTGGAGTCAGAGGGGGCAGATAGCCACTAGTTAACTATGGAGGTTTTGGGGACTACAGATACACAGAGAGGCAGGAAGTGGCAGCGGGTGGAGAGAGGATCTGGGACCTTTTGAACAGGGAAACAGAGAGAAGTAGGAAGCAATTGGTGGTTTCTCCCAGTTCTTTGATCTGCCAGGTTTTTACCCTAATATCTGACTCCTGGTTTTTTACTGAGCAAGATTAATCAGATTAACACTTCATTGGGGCACAAGCAGAGGATCCAGAGGGGTCAGAGTTCAGAGACCTAAGAGCTGGATGCCTCTCCCACCAGGTTCTCTGCTTCTCTTTCCGTGTGTGTATCGATCTCTCTGTCTATTCGATTCTTCTATCTCTTTCGCTTTTTCTCTGTGCCTTTGTGTCCCCTCTTTGCCCCTCTGTCTCTCATTCTGTCCTCCCCTCTGCTCCTCTTCATCTTTCTTTCCCACCTTAGCCCAGCATTCTTGCAGCTACCGACAAGCGCCCCCTGGTGGGCACATCTCCGCTGCTAGAAATGCTTCTGCGTTCCTGAGCTGTAATGCCTTCTAGCATGCCACACATTTACCCAGCATTCCTCGGTACCAGGTCCTGCTCTGGGAGGTTTTACTAATACTCTGGAATCCACCCCATCCCCCATCAAGTTGTTCCTGATATTACCACCATGTCCCAGATGAGGAAACAAAGGCAAAAAGAAATTGTTGCGACTCACACTCCCACAGCAAATAAGAGTTAGGATGTGACCTAGACAGTGTGACTCAACATTAGAGGCTCCAGCCATCTTAGCCATGCTCAAGCTATACTATGTAAACAAAACAAACAAAAAACCCCAGAACCCAATCATGTTTATGCAGACTGCCCTATTTAACAGTCAGACTCTCCTTGAGAGATGGGAATGGCCACTGGAGAGATGAGAATGGCTACTAACCAGGAGTAAAGTGGGGCCTGGGGCAAGCCACTGTTTTCTTAGCAGTTATCACATCTCTACCCAAAGTGCCAACATTCCTCATTGCTGTGCATGGGGTGACAAGAAGGGACAGGTCCTATCATCCAGGCTCTACATCTGTCATGGTCTTTCTACTCTCCCAACCTCTTATATCTCTAGTTTTGTGTCTGCATAATGAACTAACAACATATACTTCCCCAAAGGGTTGCTTGAAGGGTTAGTGGGATAATGCATACATAATGCATACACAGTGGTTAGCATGCTGCTGCCTGGCACATAGCAACTGTTGGATAAGTGACAGCTAGTTAGAACTATAGCTTTCTTGTATGATACCAGGATTGGTATTGGTATGTAGAGCTGCACCCTAACCCATTCCTTTTTTTTTTTTTTTTAAACCTAAGACAGGGTCTGTTTAAGCCCTGAGCTCTGTGTCGCCAAGGCAGGTCAAGGCTCTGAGATCATTCTGCACTGTTCTCCTGAGCAGCCAGGATTCCAGGCACACATCAGATTCAGATAGAATTATAGCTTTTAAAAACCATCACCATTATTACAATAACGAGGTGGAATATTACTGAAGATATTAACCAGATGCAGTTCCCATTGTGTCTAAATGTTCCTCTGTTTCTCTTCACTGAGTTCCAGGCAGCCACAGGCCTGTTGTGTGGACAACAGAGCTATAGTCTTGGCCATCGGCCTCTTTTGAAAGAGGAAATCTATTTCTAAGTTATCCTTGCATCCTCTGAATGCAATGTTAGACTTTTTTCCATAAGCTGTCCTGCAAATATATGAGATCTGTGTTAAGCATAGTTCTCAGGAATGTAACAATCAACGAAAAGTTTTTCTACAGCTGGGAGGAAGATCTGTCTGGAAAAGAGCCATAGCAGGACCCATGGTATATGTTTTGGCTCTATCTACTCCTGGGGAGAGAACCAAGAGATTAGTGAAGTCCTGGGAAAAGAGTTAGAAGGTCTTATCTTATTCTCCAGAATATAATCAGGACAAATGTCAAGCTCTTAAGGGAAACCAGAGGTCAGGGCAGCCCGAAGCAGCATATGGAAATGGCTGGAAGGCAGCTCAGCAGGGGCTGGGGGCAGCTCCTGGTTTTCTGTACATTCTTGCAGGGTGCACAAAAGGTCGCTGAATTCCTGGGTCCTGGACATCCATAAACGCTGAGAGAACATGTGGCTGGAGGCGGGTGTGGGGTTGGGGGAGTGAGTACCACACAAAGATATAGCAAGAGCAGGCGATAGCAAGGACCACTGTTGCGAGTAAGGTTTTTTCCTGCCAGTCTGGTCCCACTGCCACGCCAGCCCCAAATAACACACTGAGACTCTGTATTTGATATAATGGTGTTGGCCTGTTACTTGTTTCTTATCAGCTAGCTCTGTCTTAAGTATTAACCCGTTTCTATTAATCTAAGTATTTCCACGTGGTCTCATCTTACTGGAGAGTAGGGCTGGCGTTTGCTCTCTCCAATCTCTACATGTTGACTCCTTACTATTTCTAGAATCCTCCTTATCTCCTAGTCTCACCTATCTTGCTTTCCTATTGGTCAACAGGGCTTTGTTCATTAACCAATAAGAGAAACATATTTACAGAACGACATCTCCCATCAGACCACAGCCTTCAACGGATGACCTAAAAAAACACTCTATCTTTTTACACTGCCTTGTGTTAGTTCCTCCCCTTGGTCAAGTCCATTTGAGAAGTTTTAGGCCTTAAAGGATATTTTAGTAGTGTCTATTCTCAACAGAGGTAATGCTCAAGCAAACAATTTTTACATTGCCATCTCTAACTCCCAGCAAGGCTGTGGAGGATGTGGGAGAAGTCCAACAGAGCTGGTCAGAGCACCACACAGTCTGGTGATATGACTTTTGGCAAATATGTCTTTCTGCGCCTTTATTTTACTCAGAGATTCAACAGAGAATTTATATTAGGTGAGCTCACATTTTATCTTATTCCAGTCCAGATATTCCATGGTATTTTTCTCAGCTTACTTAAACTTTCCTTTTCCTGATTTCTCTACTGTAGAATCTATATTGTTGCTGGCACACTCCTTGTCCTTAATGATTGGTCTATGAGTGAGCAATAGCCATCTCTGCAATGAGGTTTGCAGGTCCCTGGTAAAGTAGACTTTGTAATATACTCAGATAAGAGAACAGTGCATAAATGTTTGGATGCTGTGATTATAACTGTCAGCTACAGACAGTCTGATGCCTGTTAGGTTCTTAAAATAGTCTCTCCATCATTCACAACAAACTTGCAAAATTTATTCTGCAATCCACAATTTAGTATGGCTTACAACCACCTTGGGCTGGCTTTGTTTGACTGTAGAGCCTTTGACTTGCCACACTATTTTCCCCTCTTTAATATGTATTTCCTGAAACCCCTGAGAGGGTGAATGGATGGTATGTGTGGTGGGTGCACTGTGTACTTGTTGGCTCCAACAAGTGACTGAACTCACCACTCAGGACTTCAGGACAAGCTACACAGCTCAGCAGTAGGAGCAGCCGGACACATTTGGGAGCCATCTTCCTCCTTCCCCAGAGATGATACTTTGATGCTCTGATTCCAAAGTCCTCAGAGCTCTTTCCAGCTTTCCCTTCAAGTGTCTGGTATCTCCTAAACCTGCAATTTGGACCAGAAGGATGATGGCATTTAGATACCACATCAAATTATTTCCAAATAGATGCAGATTTTACAATTGAGATAATCTCAGGTTTAGCATGGGGGTGATGAGCATTTTATTCTTACCTTCAAGACCCTGAACCAATGTCAGAGCCCTAACAACAGCAAGAAGTAAGCGCTTGGCAGTCTGCATAGAGTTAGTTTGTGACCCACCCCTCGTTTCTGGGTTATCTCCAGGAGAGTCAGCAGAGGGCGACCTGGGCACATTTCCTCACAGGTGGCAATAGGCCTTCTGAAGTCCCAGAAATAAAATAAAGTAGTTCCAATACTGAGATTTTTTTTTTTTTTAATGTTGAAAGTAAACAAATGGCCCCAATACAGTTACAGATAAGAAAGCCTGGGGTCATTTATTCTGTGTCACCAGTAACTAGAGCTGACTGTTTAACCCTGTTGTAATCATGTTTAAAAAAAAAAAAACAAAAACAAAACTTTGCTAGTCTTCCTTTCATTATCTAAAACCCACAGACCATTAAAATATCAACACAGACCAAGAAATGGGAAGTGAGCCCATCTCCCAGAGACAACTAGTTCAGCAAAGAGCCTGCGGACTCTTGCTAGGCACCCGAACATAGTTTTACATGAATCAAATCACATTGTCTTGTAACTCGGCTGCCTCTCAGACACAGAGCAGCCACATTATTGAGCCATGGTTCTTTGTTCAGCGTCTCTTCTCTGTTTGGTATGACCTCATGTGTTCTACTGCTCTCACAGAGTAGGTCCATCGTCATTTTGAACCCCTGTCTTCTGGAAGGCTCACCTACCCATCCTACTGGTAGAACTCAAGATTGTTCAAGACCTCCTATCTCATGAAAGACACTTAAGTTTATCAGAAACTGTTGTTTACTAAGTTTGACATTTTAAAATAAATGTTTTCTTGTGCCTAAAGGCTGCCGATGAGGTGGAGCATCTTTTTATATCTGATTTTTAAATTTTCTTATGTGAATTATTAGTTTATAGCTTTGCATATTTTTCTGTTTCGTTGTTCTTTGTTGATGATTAGTGAGACTGTATTTTGTACATTTATGCCTCCCATCGGGGTACTATAAGTATTTCTTAGTTCATATTTTTCTCTCATACTTTTTTTTAACCATTCTGAAGGACCACAGACTCTAGGGCCAACAGGACACCCCAAAATGCCACTTCTCTTCTCTCCCTCACAGTAGTCCTTGCCCCTGTGCCTAGTGTATTCGAACAAGTGCTGAGATATGGTTCCCCGGACCTTTCAGTGGCCCCTTGACAGAAGTAAATGTCAAGTTTTAAAAACGCCTTTGTTGGGGGCATGGTCTCCTTTATAATCTTCGGAATGTCTACGAGAAACAGCCATCATCGTGGCATGAGATTAAAATAGGTATCCACATGTCCTTCCATTCTTACCTACAATTTACAGCAATTCTAAGTGGATAGTGGTTTTCCAAAATACCATGAAAATGAAGAATTCATTGAATTCTTATCTCACCATGCTTTCTGTTTAAGGAAAAAAAAAAAAAAAAAGCAAATAACATCTCAAACAAATGATGGCTTAGGAGGGCCGATGCAACAGGGTATTTCAATTGGAGACTTCTGGAAACTATCTGCAGCCCTCGTGAACAAAGTAGGAGAATCCCTCCTCTCCTACTTGCTTTTATTTTTTTTTATATTATCCCGTGAACCTTGCACTTTTTTTTACTGAACTTTCCTTTCAAAAGTACTGTGGGATTTCAAAGTTCTGAAACCCTTTGAAATGTAAATGCCTGGAACCCAACATTCAGATTGACTGGCTGGAGGAAGGGAGGTCAGCGTTTCTTCCCTTACTAAATGGATTTGAGACATCTGGTGAGGCCCTATCATCTGTTTGACCTCCATACTGACCTCCAACGCTGAGTTGCAAATGTTAGTGTTTTGCCAATAAGCAAACGGACACTCATTGTATTCTGTAACTTTCTCTAAAGTTTCACAGATACCAGCCGGCAGAGCCAACACGGCACCTAACACTGCTGGCCCAGCCTCCAAGCCAACTCTCTTTCAGTAAGAGCAGGAAAAATAAATAAATAAATACACAACTCAACTCAGAGCTGAGGAGAGGGCTCAGCGGGTAAAGATGCTTGCTATGAAAGCCTGGCAACTTGACTTCCATCCTTGGAACCCCTGTAAAGACTGAAGGAGAGAACTCCACAGAGCTGTTACCTAATGCCAGCTCGCCACGCACACATGCGCACATGACACGCACATAAGTGCAGACATCCACACCACAATTAATATTGGTGATGATGTTAAAAATTAACAATTTAATTTAAGCCAAACAGTACTATAACAAGCACCCCCAGCAAAAGCAACAGAGTTGTGGCCACTAGGTACCTGGCGGAGAATAACAGGTGTTCACAGAAATCCCTCTTTCTGCACTGCACTGCAGGGAGGATTACCTGGTTGGAAGCAACACTCTTGAGAACCTGCCTTCTTCAGCCTCAGTGGTCCCAGGTCCCTGCAGCTTTATACCTCCTTGCCTCTGGATGTGATGACCTGTTCGGGTCATGAAGCAATAACGTTATTTACCAATAATTACCCTTATCTACAGTGAAAAACTGAACTGTTCAAGCGATAGCTTTAGAACTAATACACACTGAGCTTTGTCTAGCTAAGAGCAGAACCTCTCCCTGTGTGCAAACAAAATCTTTAATGCCCGCGTTATTAAAATCAACAGTATCCTGTAGTCTGAGAGTTGCCCTTCTCCTCTCCCATTTCTTCACTTACTTGTGCTTGGTCCTGTTGTGTAATCTTCCTCTCCTTTTTGTCTCTTCGTGTTGTGGGTGACCTTTGTCTTCCTTTCTTTTCTGGAAAGATGTTCTACCCTGAAGAGTGTGTATCAGTTTTCCCAGCCTACCTCTTCCAGTGACCTGAACACTCTGACAATGCTCGAGGGGAAGAGCATTGGGTCTGGCTGATTCTACTACCCACCAGCCGGTTGGTGGTGGTACCTGCCTTTAATCCCAGTACTGGGGAGGCAGAGACAGGTGGATCTCTGTGAGTTTGAGGCCAGCCTGATCTACAGAGTGAGCAGGACAGCCAGGAATGTCAAGATAGATAGATAGATAGATAGATAGATAGATAGATAGATAGATAGATAGATAGACAGACAGACAGAGTGAGCACTGGACATGTGCTGAACTTCTTGGATCCATGATCCTAATCTGAGTATGAAGGAGGGTATTACTGGGTGAGCTTACCTGTTTAATACACAGTGCTTTTCCCCTTTAGAAAGCTGGATAGGAAAGGTCCTGCTACACTGTACAATAGAGAGTACAGATACCAACTCTGAGCCTTTCCAGCCCCAGAGGCCTGATGCAGAAGGAACACACACAAGTTTTGCAAAACATTGTGATGAGGTAGAGCTTCTTCAGCCAAGCTCTACCTTGACTGTTACTCTGATCCATGTGCCACTGTTTTTAAGACTTCAGATGACAAAAAGCGTCAGAACATGGGAGTTACTATGTCTAGACTGTGAGAGGTCTCTCACCGGAACCTCCATTGGTCAGGACAAAAGGAGAGCACTGATAGAACTCACACCCAACTTGAGACATGAGAATAAAAGGGAACCTGGTCTGACATGAGGGCTGGCACACATTAATCCCAGCACTCGGAGGCTGGGGTAAGACTGAATTTGCAGATACACTGGGCTCCATCATGAGTTCTAGGTTAGCCTGAGCTACATGGCAGTGGAGTGAGGGGTGAAATTCAATTGATAGAGCATCTTCTAGCATACAGCAAGGTCTGGATTTGATCCCCAGACATAAAAGGAGAGGTGGTGTCATGGACTTGTGATCCCAACACTCAGAAGGATCAGAAGCCCGAGGCCATCCCCAGCTGCATAGCAGAGTTCTAAAGCGGTCTGTGCTGCATTGAGACTCTGTTTCAGAATATAAGGGGTCAGAGAGACATCTGAATTTAAAAGCCTCATTAACTACCATGAAGGAGTGATCTAAAAGAAACTGTGAATACAACATACATTCACTTTAGAAAACAAGAGATCTAAAATGCACAAATCAGTAACAATTACTTCTCAAGAGTCAGGAATCAGATTGGGGACACTTGAGAGATGGCTCAGCTATTAAAAGCACTCAGTGCTGCAGAAGACCTGAGTTCAGTTCCCAGCACTCACATAGAGACCCACAACTGCCTGCAACTTCACTTTCAGGTGGTCTGACACCTTTGTTGACCTCTTTGTGCACTCCACACATGTAATACATAGACATATGTGACATATATGCAAGTAAAACACCCGTGTATAAGGTAAAATAATAAAACTGTAATGCCAAGCCAAGAGAGGGATACATTTTCCTCCCTAGGGATGAGGCTGCTAGATAGTCTGAGCAGGTTGTGCACACACACACACACACACACACACACACACACACACACACACTAGCAACCTCAACCAAAGAAAAAGAGGCCATGATTTCAAGAGGGCATAAAGGGAGGTTGGTGGATGGAAAGTTGTTGGTGATGTAATTCTATTTTAACTTTAAAAAATAAAAGAAAATAGCACACAAAAAAGAAAAGAATACAAGAGCTGAAATGGCACCAAGATGGAGAAGCAAAGTGAAGACAGCTTTAGGAAATGATTTTCAAAGTGTGAAGGAAATTGACTCTATATCTAGCCAGGCAGCCATAAGAGTTAATACAAAATAGTGGAATGTAAATTATAAGAACTTAAAAGCAATCAATAGAATCATTAAAATTACCATTCCAGTATGCTTTTTTGGGGGGGGGGAATTCCAGAAGCAAAGAATTTGATTCACTAGAGGAATAAGTGTTGAGTGTAACAGGTAATTATAATGATTTTGGAAAGGTTAGCAGTACTTTATTTTCAATATGAATAGAAACCAAAGAAG